TTCCCAAACTTAGCTCATTTTTATTACATTTTTTGCACATTAATTATTGTAAGGATTTGTTTAACTAAAGCTCGGGAAACACAACCCCTGTTCCATCCCTCAAAAATATAATAGCAAATTCTTGTGTTCATTCATTCTAGTCATTAACGTTAGTACCTATGTAAATAATTTGTGTGTAAGGTGTGAATTCAATTTTAAATAGATTTTTGTGTATTTTTTTTTTGATCAATATAAACGTCATGTATATTAAAAATAAAAATAATAATTTAAAACAATGTATACATTTTATGAATACTATTATAATAATTAGTAATTAATAACTATGAATCTTCGCCAGTTGTTAGTAATTTCAGTGCTTTTTGCAAATTTGCAATGGACTCAGAAACATCATCGTAGGTTAATGCACTAGCAGCAAATTTGCAATACTTCTGTGCTTTAGTAATTTGTGACGGTGACAGTTGTATTCCATCTAAAATGTAAAATAACTTTTATTTTTCTGTAATAATAATTGAATATCGCCCAAATCAAAATAAACAATTGTTATGAGACTTGAAAAACAAACTGTCATCTATCTATTCAGTTTGTGAGATTAGCTGCACTTACATTTTAAGTGCTTTAACTAAGAATTAATATGATAAATAATTTAGGAAAACTATACCTCTGTGTACAATTGGTATTTCTGATACAGTTGGCTGTATTTCTGTTTGACTGATTGTGGGCATGTTTGGTATTTTTTGATATTCATTAGGACTTAATGCAGGATAATCTGAAATCATATATTTATAAGTTATGCAGGGTGTTTGATTATGATTGCTTAATATTAGTATAAATATAATATTAACCTTCATATGTATGTTTAGTAGGAGTTACAGGAACAAAATTATCTGTAGGTTGCTGAATGTCTTCTCCTTGATTCGGAAAGTTGAAACCAATTTGTCCACTTTCTGTAACTGGTGGTCCAGGTGTAGGAGTCTCGCCATTTTTTATGCAATTATGAATATATGTAGCCTTCCATTTTGCATATCTTTGAGTATTTGTGATCTCTTCGGAAATATCCCCAAATACACTTAATACGTCCATGAGTAGTCCAGCAGTAAAAAACAATTTAACTATATTCCTAATGAAAATAAAATCATATAAATAAGCAACTARAATAAAATTGTATAAATTAGTTTTATCTACTTATTATAATTTGCTTGACGGTCCATTCCATCTGCAAAATTAAACAATTTTATTGCATAATTTTCTATGTGTGCTTGAGCAGCAGCCTCATTTGTGATCATGTCATTTTCTTTTAAATTATTTTTTTGTTTCTCCAACCAATCCATTAGAGACACTAAAAACGATTTAGCATCTTTTGATGATTTGTCTAATGTTAAAGCAGCTTGCAGAGCATATAACCGACCTAAAACAAAAAAATTTATATAATGCTTATTTGGATTTCTCGATATCAAATAACTCACACCAATAACTGATTATTGGATCTTTAGAATCGTGTTCTAAAGCGATTTTTAGATGATGTTGAATCTTCTTCAAACTTTCCGGGCATTCGGGAATTTGTGCCATCGTATCTATTTAGACGATTTAGATTTTTCGTATTAAATTTAAAATGCGTAAACGAAATGGAATGACATTATGTGTAATTAACACAAACTTAAAAATATATTTCTTGGCTACGCATGTAAAAGTGTAATTTTTAAAATTTTTTCACTTAATGATCTTGAATGTTGAATTGTTGACAATTATTATTAATTATTTTAATCACTGACGAATAATGAATAATCAACAAAGAATTTAGGAATCTAGTATCTACGATAAGGGAACTAAAAGATCTTGATTCTTTATAGTTATTAAAACTCAGGTCCCAGACGGTTCTGGTTTTATCTATTTTCCATGGTTCTGGTTAGAAAACAGAAAATTAATATAATATCAAAATATGTGATATGTTATCATTATGTGACGACTCAACCTGTCGTTGGCTGCACCGATTTTATCGTTCTGATTGGTTGGCGCGTTGTATCAGTATCACRATCCTAAGCTAATTTTTTTTTATGGAAACCAAGTCGCCTGCTGCAGTTAAATTGACTGTTCTTCTTCTTATTTCTTTTCTTAAACACATTGCAAACTGTAACTTAGGCAATTTTTGTTTATTTTATCTACGTACACAAATAGTATAAGGGCATTGTGTATTTGTGTTTGAATTTTTTATTTTGTGATACGCAAACAACATATTTTATTCATTGTTATTACAGTACGTCTTACAAATAGCTTAGCTTCGACATGAGTAATAATAATAAATCGGCATTATTTGCTTGCTCGAAGTGTTTCAAACGGTATTTGTATGAAGACCTATCGTCTGGGCAACAACTCTGTAAAGTACGTAAATTTAGCACATTTTTCATTTCGCGTTATCCCCATTAGGCAATAAACAAACATTTACATAATTATAATTATAATTATTGTGTGTTTTAGGAATGTCGAGGATCATACCCCGTAGTCAAGTGTACGTATTGTCGGTCTGAATTCCAACAGACTGAGTAAGTTGTAACAAAATAATCTTACTTCTACAAATAGCTAATCTCATTGGCTCTATTAAAAATGAATTAACAAACCACTTGATTTTATAGTTGTAGACTTTGTAATGAAAAATTATTAAACCAAGTACTTATGTGAGGTACTCACATACAGGTGTTTTTAAGAAAATTTATACCTAATTAATTTTTAACATTTTCAGTAAATCAAACACTAGTACAATTTGTAAAAAGTGTGAACAATTTGTGGCTCAATATGGTAGACCAACAGCATGTAGTTACTGCAACATCATAGCTGCATTCATTGGGCAAAAATGTCAACGTTGTGCAAATTCTGAGCGCAAATATGGGCCACCTGTGACCTGTGATCAATGCAAACAAAATTGTGCATTTAATAGAAAAGATATGGATTGTGAAGTAATAGTTTATATGCTATAAAAATTTTAAAAATAATTGTTCTTAAAAATTGATTTATTTTATTTCAGTTGCTTGATGGAAAAGTATTATGCTGGTTATGCACGTTATCATTTAAACGAGCCTTAGCAAAAACAAAAAAAACTGATGCTGAAATGAAACTATTAGTAAAAAAACGTGATGGGTCAGTATTATAGTTAAACACTAGGCCAATGTGACATTAGAAATTGTTTAGTTTTATATAAATTATTAAATATTATTTTTCAGGTCAAAAAATAGAAAAACTAAACATACAAATGTRATGAAGCTAATTGATGACAGTGGTCCGGATTTTGCTTTGCCTCCACCTTCAAAAATGCATCGAAATTCTCATAGGCACGTTGATGTAAATTCAGATAATGTAGTGGTTATTACTGACCTCAAAGAACAAATAGCCATGTTACAAAAACAATCTAATCTAAAGAGTTGTCAACTATTAAACAAAGAGAAATTTGTAAGAGATATTAATATTTTTTTTTTTACTAAAGAAATAAAAACACTTGTTTTGTATCCATAAACTAGTAATTTACAATTTATTTATTAGATAACTGAATTGAAAGCCAAACATTTTACAACAGAAAATGAATTGCGTACTAAAATGAATTCCGACAAAAAAGAGTATAGTAGAGAAGTAGAAATGTTGCATAGTAAAATCAAGTGTTTGCAGAAAGAAGTTGCAACATTATCCAAAAGTGGCGGTAAACGTAGTGTACATCTTCGTAAAGAACACGATAGTGGTAGTGGTACTGATAGTCCATCTGTGACATAGTTTTAGYGTTGTAAGTACTACAAGTTAATATTATATTTGGTATGGAATTTGTGATTTATTAAGTGATATACAATGTTTTTTATTTAATCATTGTGTAAACATTAAAAATATATGTATATCATCTATACAATTTTACCTACTTTCAAGTAAACTGATTAATTTATAATGAATTATTCTTAATTACATTTTGTTTGAATACATTTTCCTTTTACTCCTCTATGTAATATAATAATTGCTCATTTGAAATACTGTTAGTAAGTAGCTCTATATTATAAACTATTACATACATGTATTTGATTTTCTCTACTTTTTAACTTTAAAAATATTAATCATAATTATTTTTTTAATATTATGAATGTTTTTTTTTAATTTTAAGTTATTTTGAAGATAAAAATTAGATGTCTTAAAATTAACTACTTACCTATGTTTAATACTGGGAACAATTTAATTTAACATTTTTTTTTTTTTTATGTTTAAATATTATATTTGTGTATTGTCTGTGGCCAAATGAATACAAACTAGATTTCTAAAATTGTATGGTTTTTAATTTATCCATTTGTGCAATTATTTTTAATTGAATTATCCTAGATCCAAATATTTTTAATTAAAAAAAATTTAATTTAATTTAAAATACATACTTTAATGTGATTATTATGTAAGATTGTGAATAGTATTTTTCTGCAACTTTTAAAATTGATTTTAGTAATACATRGATTCATCTTAYTACCTATTGCAATACATTGATCATAATATTTGGATCTATTTATTTAAAATAGATATTCACATTTACATAAGAAAAATGTAAACATTCTTATTCCCACAAAAAAAATTCATTTTTAAGTCATAGCTACTAATTAATATTATGCAAAAATATCCTATAAATCATTATAAAAATAAAAGCTATRTTGAAATAAAAATTGTGTCACTTTGCAACCCTTGTTGCAACCCTGCGTGATAAGAGAAAAAAAATCAATAGCTGTAATCTGTTGAGTTTTCTTTATGGGTTTATGACTGTTAGGCAGTGTCTGGTTCTATCCTATGTAATATACCGCTATAATCACTGTGCTTAAACTTATTCTGACAGTTACAAAAGTAAGTTTTTTTTTTATAAAACTGACTACAATAATTCTAAGCTAATACTATACTTAGTTTTAAATTAATTCAATAGGYACATTTTTCATTATGACTTCTTCTGGTTTTGGTCTTAGTGAAATAATTAGTATACCATCAGTTTTTAATGAAAATGGTACAAACAGTACATCATTTACTGAACATAATGGTAAGTTAAACAACTTACAAATGCATCCTTAAATTCAGCTATAGTATGAGCAATGAGTATTTTGGACGATCCAAGTATCCATTTATTGAAAAAAAATGCTTTCAATCTTTTTTAATGTAGTTTGGTGTGTTGATTGGCGGMCATCACAGCATTGGATGTTTCAGATAGCTAATGCTCTGTTCTTTATGTCATATTCTGTGCCAACTAGTTATTATGGCATATTATTTATGCACTCGACATTAATTGCAGGTACTRTTTAAAAAAAAAAAACTACTTATAACTACATATATTGTATTTGTTATTTATTGAAAAATTATAGTCTCAATCACATTAATTTTTTCTTGGTGCATATTATACTCTATTCAAAATCAGAACAAAAGTCCGTGGTGAGGAGGTTTTGTTTGACACTGTTAGACGCTTCCCCACCTAGTTTACACACTAGCCCAGTGATTTGGTACAAGTTGGTCWCTGATTACCATTTTTATTTTGAATAGAGTATAGTTACTACTTTTTAACCTGCCAACAAATAAAAAGTAAATAAGTATTTGATCAATAGGTTCTTAATTTTGGTTTTAGGTTTTCTCATACTCATTACTTGGGCATGGAGAATAGTGTGTGCACCTGATTTATTCACTTGGAATTTATGTTTTCTCTTTATTAATATTCTACAGCTAATTTATCTTATTTATCAAAGAAGACCGATTAATTTTAATCCAGAACTTGAACAAATTTATCGTAACATGTTTAAGCCTTTCAAGGTAAATTATTGACATTAATAATACTGTATTTCATTTAAGAATAAACCACTTCTCATATGAAAAATGATCAGAGGACAACAGTACTTTTAGTAAGCTCTATTAATGGTTAACGTAGATCGTAATACACTTATGAACTTAAACGACTACTCTTTMATCACTTATTTTATTTTTAAATGGAATAGAATATAACAATAHTACATACACATATCATAAATATGCATTATTATTTATTATTGATTTCACAAACTATATAGATTACAAGAATTCAATTCAAGAAATTGGTGAGTGAACAATTTGCTCAAATTGTTACGTTACACATAGGTGAGGCTTATGCTATGCAAAACATCACAAAAACTGATAGACTTGGACTTCTTATGTCTGGAAAAGCAAATGTTCTCCAAGATCATCAACTTTTGCATCCCATAGGACCATGTGAGTTTTTGGATTCTCCTGAATTTGAAAGCAGAGGGTCTTCCGAAGACAAATTTAAGGTGGATGTTATTTGTGGTTTAAAAATATGATTCATTATTAATTTAACTTTTTTTTAGGTTTCAGTAATTGCTGCAACAACTTGTCGATATATATATTGGCAGAGATCAGCATTAGAATATTTGTTTGTAAAAGAAACATACTTGGCGACTGTATTAGCTACTTTAGTTGCGAAAGATATAACAATTAAATTATACTCTATGAATAATAAAGTAAAACAATATTAATCATTTCATCTAAAACTGATAAATTAATTTCATTTTTTCATTTTTAGATTATGACAGATAAAGGATCACATTTAGATATCAGGTTGCCAAGTATCACTCCAGCCTTAGCAACAAAAGAATGTAAGCCACCAATTGTGAAAACATTAAAAAAACTAGCGGTGATCTCATCACATTGTCCTATATCACCTATACCAGCTGGTAAATGTATTTCATAAATTTTTGATTTGTGTTTTTGCATTCAATTAAATTTATTTACCTTCCCTTTACCTTGCGATTGTCTAGTTATAGAGTATTTATGACTGTTATCTAAATGAAAAAGTTAATWATTATTTCCATACATGAATGAATGAATTGATTCTATAATCAACTTTTTTAGTGACTATAAAAAATTTGTGAGGATAGTGATTTTTACCAAAGTTTATATTATRTACACTTTTATTACAATCATGCTGTACTGTTAGTTTAAATTATCCTCAAGTAATTTATTGGACCAATTTATGATGATCTTAGAATTTCAAATTCTTGAGTATTTTTAAAATGTTTTTTATACTTTAATAATAGACATTTAATACCTATTTAGAAATTAGTGATCTAAATAAATTAATTACAAAATATATGTTTGTAATTTTAATATCAGAAGTAAAACTATAAAAGTAGATAGGTACAAGTTACCTACTAATATTGACCTACAACGTCTACAACTCATAGATAGCTTAGTTATAAACAAATAATTGTGATCTAAAATAGTTTATAAAAATTATAATTACTGTACATAGTATAATATGTTATTACCTATTGGCTATTTGTTATGTTTTAGTTGAATAAGTACGTACCTATGTGATAAATGTAAATTTATATATGATGGCTTTAAATATTAATTACACTTACAAATAATATGATAATTAACTTGAGTACCGTTGTGTATAGGTTATACCTAGCTTTGTTACTGTTAACTTATAATCATATGTTATCTATTATTAAAATAATAATTCTAACMGTTAGACATATTTTATTATAAATATTAAATTTAGAGGAACAGATTACAAAATATTAAATCAGTCAAATAGTGATTCTCATTATGTACATTTTACATATTTAGAAATATCATATAATATTTATATATTTATATTTAATATTGATATCTAACCTATGTGGGATGTTTGATCGGTGACTGCCATAAAGTTAGATTAAGCTGAGTTGAAGTTTAGATAAAATCTGGATTACCTATATAGTATAAATAAAACTGACATATTTTTAAAAAAACATGATATTTCTATATTATGTTGATGAAATTTATTCAGTAAATGAGTCTGAAATATGAATATAATCTTAAAATTATTTTAATAAAAACCTTGTAGTACCTTATTCTCTACAAAAACTTATTGATGGTAAACATTTTTATTTTTTTTAAATATTGATTGTTAAATACTTAAATGATAAACATATGTATGATATATTTAAGCATATTTATTAAAAATAAAAATTCATCTTGGGTTTCTACTGCAGCTGATGTTATGCAGCTTGATGACTGACTGCTTTTTGTGTGAGATATACCTACAGTGCATCCCATAAGTTTTGAGACAACCATTTTAAAATTAATACTWGTATCTAGATAATTAAGAAATTCAGGAAAGTTATTACAATAACACCTAAAAAATTTTGGATCGCCTATGTAAAAGAATTGTACGTGTTAGGCAACTTAGGCTTGCTTTGTGGAAAGATCAATATTTTATTTCTTGCTGCACAATAACACTCCAGCACATACCGCGTCGATTGACACTCAATTTTTGGCCAAAAAATGGTTCTAGTACTCTCCCCCCCAACCCGTATTCAACAGATTTGAGTTCTCCAGACTATTTCCTGTTCCCAAAGTTGAAGATGGAGCTCAAGAGGCACCATTTTACCACCTTTGAAACGATTAAAGAAGCGATGACGCAATATATCAAGAACAATCCTGAAGCTGATTTTTCAAGGACCATGAAAAAATTGGACGATTGTGCAAGAAGGTGTATTTAATGGTGACTATTATGAATAAAAATTGCTTAAAACATTTTTTCAAATTTTCTTTGTAACATCAGTAACCTTAGTCTCAAAACTTATTGGACGCACTGTTATACACATTCCTTCTACCTAAAAGTAAAATGAGATTTTATTAGTTGATCAGTACTTTTTTTTCACCAAAAATCCTTGCCTGTGGATGTAGATRATAATAAATTGTTTTGGTTTTACGTTTATCGATTAATGCAAGTGTTTGTGATGTGTTATATGAGTATATATTTTGCAATTTTAATAATTTGTAAACYTTTGTGTAATGTTGTATTTTGCATGTATAAATATATTTTGGATTTAATTATCGATTTTAAATTCTTACAATGTATAATATGTTTTAATATACCTATTTATTTATTTACATAAATAAATTATGCCAATCGGCTTTTACAAAAAGTCAAAAAGAGTAGATAAATATAAATATAATATAATATGATAACAATAATATTTAAAGACTAGTAATAAGTGTTWAAGTATATAACTAGGTAAAGTAATATCAAAATTGGGCGAAGATCAAACTGAATTGGCAGACCTAAGCATTCTGTGCGTGGTGATGTGGTTGTGGCTGAAGGAAGTTGAATGAGTAGGAATATAAAAAGGGATGTGATTACGGATATTGACATATTGTGAGAGAAACTTTAAATGAAACTTGAGATAAAATGTTAGGTGCATTTATATAATTGTTGAAAAGTGCATAAATAAATTAAGAATCAATATAATTACGRCTTGAAGACAAAGAAGGTAGGTATATTTAGAACACGGCTAACATCGGAATAGTTGGGATTCGGTGAAGGTAATTYAAGAATAAAAGCAACATACGATAGAAATGTATGTATGTTGAACACGCTCAAGACTTAATTGATCCTTAAGACCTTAACAAGGTTAGAGTACTAGACCATAACATCATACTCGAGTATGGGTCGAATAAGAGCTAAATACAAAGAACGGAGTCAGTTTACTGATGAGAAGAGTCTTGTATTACGTTTAATAATACATAGAACCTTTAGAGCACGACCCGTTATTATACATCAATGTGAYGGTCGAAAGAGAGTAGATGAGTAATAAATATCAATATCTTAAATAATTGATACACGTTGTTTGTTTGATTGCCATTCTGATATTCAGTTTAATTATAAATATTAAGTTTTATGCATAAAAAAAAWAAATAATATAAAAGTATTTTTATTGTATACATCTAATAAAACATTATTAGTAAATAAATAACAGTAATTTGTTTATTATTATCGACAAATATTCAATTTTAGTGTTATCACTTTGAAAAGATATCTATCTTTATATTATTCAATGAATATAATTATTTATTATTGGTTACTTTTTAAATATATTTACGTTTTTTTTTTATATGTGTTATAAATAAGATAACATAATATGGATATAAAATCATTTAATTATAAATTACAATTGTATATGAAAAATATTTAAAAAGTAACCAATAATAAATAATTATAAATGGTTTTATGCATTTTATAATGCATTGTAAAAATATATTATTTATTAAAATTTGAATGGCTCTCATTCAGTCAATTTTGGTTTTAGAGCCAGGGTCAATTGCTTAAAATGTCTTAAAAAAAATTCAGTCTATCCGAATTTGGTATCTAAAACACCGGTTGCTATTAAAAAATAATAAGTTGCGTTGAGCATGTGCGTACCGAGAGGGTTAAAAATTTGAAATTTATCTGAAGATGTGTATTYATGTACCACTTGCTTGTAAAAAAAAATTCGATTTATTCTAGTATAATCCGGCCGAGAAATTAAGTGTTCCCTAAATTGGTGAGCACACAGTATATTGTATAATATAATAATAATGACATAATAATAATACCTATTTTTTCATTTTTATAACTTTTAAATTATTTTAAAACTTAAGTATTAAAAATAAAAATTACAGGACTTTAATGATTGTTTGTTTTAAATGTTTTCTATATTTTATACTTAAATTTTAAATGTTTAATTTAACAAATCAAAAATAATGATTACGATTTTTTAAATAAAAGTTTTGCAAAATCAGTATGGTACATATTATACCTACTACCTAGTGTAGTAAATCATATTATTTTTAATAAGATAGCTGATAAATAAATCACTTATCAGCAAGTAAATAATTAAAAATAACATTTTTTTTTTTTTTTTATAATTCACTTATTATTTATGCAAAAAACTTATTTTTAGATATTTATTAGTTTGCGTCATATTATTTTTAATACAAATAAATTACTTACACTGATATAACTACTAATGTATTTTGATCAAAACAAATAGAAATTGTTAGGCTTGGTTTTATTTATTTTTACCAGTGAAAATCACCAAGTGCGATACATCGATAATGGATAAATGCCAAACGACCAACGGGAAATTCAATCGAATGAACTTGGCTAATGAAATGGGCAACACAGGAGTGGAAAATTGGCTTGAAAAAACCTCAAAATATCATAGCTTAGAAATGGCAGATGACGAATAAATGAAAACTCTATCATTACCTATTTTTTTATAATTTATTTATACAAATGTTTTCTATAAAAATATATTTTCATTATTTTTTAAGTTTTTAACTGTATTTTAATTATTTATCGTATAGGTAATACAATAAATTTGTATAAGATTTTTCTAAGTAGGTTTTTATACTTTTATAGGTATTTGAAAATTATCCTACTGCCATCTCACTGTCAACGGTAGTTTTGATGGAAAAAAATAATAGAAAAAATATTTGCATTTTATTTAACTATAAGTTGTATAAATAAGAGCTCAAAATAAAGGAATTTACTCATGTAATATATAGATAAAAATATAGATGCATTATTATTATTATTATTATTATTATTATTTGCTTTGATAATAAAAATTGTGATATTACAACAAAAACACTTCGTAAACTACGTGTAAAAATGGTTAAGTGAAACAAAATATTAGATCTTAAGGCATTYTACACTATAAAGGTGTGATATCATAAATATAAATGCTAAGTATTTATTGAATTTAATTAAACCTATTTTGTTTCAATAATTTATTTACTTGGTGAGGAAATATATAGAATAGTATATAAATATAAATATTTATATTTTTAAAATTATAATAAGTTATATTTTAATAGTTCTTTGCCATTTAATTATTTTGTTCATAATATCACACTTAAGAAATAATTTCTCGCCAAGTAAATAAATTATTGAAACAAAATAMGTTTACTTAAATTCAATAAACTTAGCATTTATTCATGATATTATATCTTTAAAATTCTTAAAGATCTAATATTTTGTTTTTACTTGGCCATTTTTACACGTAGTTTGAGAAGGCTTTTTTAGTGATTATAACTATTAGTAATAACTTCCAATTTCATTGCAAGTACAATATCTAATAGCGTTATTAAAATTAAGTAAGCGTGCTATTGGTACATATTTCTAGTAAATACTAAATAGTAACATCATGATAATATATATGGAATTTTTTTAAAGTAAATAATTAATAATTAGCTTTTTCAATCATATTTTAAGCTAATATTATATCGTGCCTAATATATTATTGTTATTTGGCGCATTATAACTTATTAAGTAGGTAAATAAATTTAAAATTATACCAATAATATAATATGTTACTGTTTTAATCTTGTTTTTRTTTTTTGAAAGGGTAAAATAAATAAAACATTTTTTCAAACGTCTTATACTTTTTTTTTACATAGGAATATGGATCTTTTTTTGAACTTTTATTCATCGTGGTTCTTAGGCCATGCGGATCAAACATTTGAGATTTTGCGAATTCCAGCTCTTAAAACGCCGCTGCAGGTATATGTTTTTCTAATGAGAGCAACAAGTTGTACGATTGCTGAGTTACTACTCGATCACTAACCATAAACACCGTCTCAGAAAAAATAAAATAATAGTTTATTATGCATAAAATAATTGTAATAACCATCGTTCGTTATTTCCTAACATTCTTTGGTATTATTATTAATTGTTTTATTTTGTTCAATAAACTGAATGCATAACTATTGAAGACGGAAACCTTATAAACTATATAAAAAAACATATAATTTAAGTGAATAGAGAAAATGCGAATGAGWTTAGACGATCATAAAAATAACTTTCAAATGCCAACGCTAATATTATATAATATCAAAACCTGATTGCAACGTACTCGTAACTATATAACGCAAATTAATTAACTGAAATCTGTCGTATTTTTTGGGCGTATTGATAAGAACAAATTCTTCTGACAGTTTGAATACAGAATATCATATTTACACTTATCTACATTAATGCACAATAAATATTAATAAGACGTTCTGATGATGTGTGGCGATTAGAATATCTGGAAGGTTATTAAATGTACGTTATGTGTAATGTGTACATTATTTGATGTTTCCGTCTTACAAACGTACAACATTATGGCAAATTTTACTTTCACAATAGTACGTTTTACTCTATAATTTTCAATATTAGATTGAATTTGAATTAACCTCTTATAAAATTTAAAGGTGAGAATGTTATTTAGGGAATTTTGGAAGATTTTATTGATATTATTATTCTGTTTATGTAAGTTATAATTATTTCAAAATACACAAAAAATGTTCAATTTAAAAATTGTCATAACTTCTTAATTTTAATCTAATTTTAGAAATTATGAAGTTTACTGTATTATTGTGAATTTAAAATGTTCCATATGGAATATTTGAAGGTTAAATTAGGTTAGCAATATTGCATGATATAATATTATACCTACACTCAGAAATATGACGTATAAAAAACTAAAAACTAAAACTTTAAGCTGGACCCTAAATGTATTATGCCATTATCTATAGGCTCATGGGAATTCTCTTTCTATACTAGCATGCATGGTTGAATTTAAAAATACAAAAAGGAATGGGTKCTAGACAAAAAAAAACATTCAATAATTATAAAGTATATGATATTATACATTATATAAGCAATATTGTAGTATGGTTAAAATTAATATTTRAAACACTGTAAATTCAATCCATTCTAACACCATTGACATAATATTATCGATCTAATATAATTGTGCAAATTACCTAACCCTCTGAATGATGAAAATGTTCGTKCAGCACTAGCTGTGGTAAATACCATTTGGTATAAATAGTAGCTTATATTTGCGATTTTATTTTATTATTAGAAAAAATGTATTGCAGTGTTTCAGAGTTTAAAYCACCATATTTGGCATATATAGTTTGATCTTTATACCATTTATTTTTCCAAATAATATTTCAGATGTCATTTAGATTTATTGAGTATACCAATCTCTACWATATTGAGATATATTTTTTTTAATCAAAAGTTTCCATCCGACGAGGTCTATATTATCATTTCGAGYCTCAATACAGTTAGTTCGTTTTTTTATTAGTGATGTACCTACATACATCGTTTAAAACACGTGCGTAWATACTTTAAAAAATATGATATCAATATACCATGTACAGTCATTTATTACAATAAAAATAATACACAGCGCCCGGTTGAGTTGCGTGACGTCACTGTGAAGTCATAACCAGCCAGTGAGCCGTCTGCGTGGTGCGCGTGTCGGTCCGGGCCCGCCGGGAAAATCGATGCGATCTGACGTGGTGACATGGTGGCGTATACGAGTGGACTGCAATTGTGTATTTATAGAATATAGATTACCAAAGTACAATTATAATGGTATAAGAAAACATATGTTTTTAGAATATTATATGATTATGTAAAAAACAACCGAAACACATGGTTTTGGTTTAGCTTTATCATTTAAAAAATTCACAATATTCGATTAATTTTGTTTTGTTTTGGAGATGATGACTCGCGTATTGTTAAAAGCAGTAACGGTGGTCATTCCGATTCTTAATTATTATATGTCTGTACAATAGGTATATAAGCCGAATATGACATGTCTGGACATTGTACGCTGACAATATTGACCACATCGATATTCGATAAATTTGCTGTTTCACGAAAAACAATAAATKATGTTTTCTATTTGTTTCGTGTACAATTTTTTTCTTTTACACTCAAATTTTTACAATCATAGGTGACATAACGCATCMAAAAATATTGTCTGAATAACAAGGTACGATACCCAAAAAGTGACAATAATGTTAAAATCGGTATGCCTAACACTAGTCTATACTAGTATACCTAATACCTATGTATAGGTAAAAAAAGTCAGAACAAATGGACAAAACAAACTGATTTTATATTTATGTTGCCTACTGATAATATTCAACAGCGGTAGATATCAAAATGTTATTTATAATAATTGAAAAATAGTTTATTTTTCCAAACATACTTTATACCAATAAATACTTTGCTAATCATTAAATCGGATATGATCGTATTTGAAAAATAAATTGGAAGTAATAATCAATAATTATTAAATAATACAGTTTTATGTTTTATTTTATCTATTGGGACTCAATAAATAATTGTAATTAACTGTTTTTGTTCCTAAATTATTTTGTTTGGATTTTTTTCTCCTCTCATTTTACCTAAAGGTCGTTACTACTATATTATAGCCTGTAGCGTGCATTGCAGTGAGTGCCGCTTTGCCCGCACAGTCGCCGAACCCAACGCGCGCTGCCATATAATATTATCACGTCGACGGCGGCGACGACGTTACGGGTGGGCAGTCTATCGTACAACACTGTACAGCTCTCACCGCTGCCGTCAGCGTTTCCGAACGATATTTGGATCCACCGCGCTCGCTCTCTTGGTGACGGAATTATTGAATTGTATCATCCTGCGCGCATGTCGTCCGAGAACAATTACCATCTGCGTTTTRTACGTGTTTGCCTGTTTTTCTCTTCGACTTGTGGTCGTGTACGATATGACAAAACGCGATAACGATCAAAAACTACGTCGACGCGACGGCGAAGACTTGGCGGCTTTCGCTTCCCCGACAATAAGTGAGTCGCATAGAATATTATTTGCGTGTTGTACAACATAAAAATATTAAATCGAGCTATAGTTAAGTTATATACACGTGGATAAATTGATTTTAAAACATGTGATAGTTGTATTATTATTATTTTAAAATCAATGGTGAGTTTAATTTATTCATGGTACACAATTATGTAAGTATCAGAATTGCATAACCATTGCGCCGTGTTACATTTTACTTTATATTATAATATAATGTGTAGTTATAATATGTTATAATTTATAAATAAGTTATTATAGATTAAAATTGTAATATTGTATTATATAATTATTAATTATGATGATATATTTTATAAGGTATATTGATATTTTACAGTAATGCAAATCTGTCAATTTTTAATAAATTGTGTCRTTATTAATTTACATTAAAAAAACTGTCCAACAAAACTTTGACCTTATTGTTGTTGCTTTATTCTACTGTATATTCGTGTATAGTCACAATTCCGATACTATACTTTGCGTGTGAATTCGTAATTGACGAAATCAGACACGCGCAGTTAAGATATATTTTAGAAAAATGTATCAGCACTGTATGTTCTCAATGTATTGAATATATTTATCTATACATAAATAAAATCCTAAATTAGTTAATGTATGAATTAACGTCCCAGTAAAATAACATGAACTATATACTAAAGAAATATTTAAGAATTTTTTTTTTAGAATTTTAACTTACTATATATATATATATATATACTTTAGCAAGTATATATGTTTATGTGTAATATTATTATGATTGTTACGTGCAATGAAAACAATGATTTGAATCAAAGAACGACTTTAAACTTTATTATATACTGATTCACTTTAGAATCTTTAATTAATAATTATTACATATTATATACTGCCGTTGCGTAGAGAGCGCGATATGTTCGCTACGCCGTTCGTATTACTACTGTAGACTAGTTACTATATAGAGCGAATATCTACGCCTTCTCGGAGATATTCATGATAGGCGATGAGCATATCGAACAATGATTGCTAAACAATGAATGGATTGTTGTTTAAAAGTTTTGCCTATTTAATTTCAAGATGTTGTATAATATGAGAAAGGGTAAAGGTTATTGTATGCTTGATCGGTAGCTTAGATTAAAAAAAATGAAWTATCAAGTTATAAATAAAAATATTTTAAATCACATAATACCCTAACGACATAGATAAACTAGAAATTATATATTCATGTTTTATACTTATACAGTTATACTCGTACTATATAAATGTTTTATTGTTTTATCATAAAGTTTTATGATTGTATTTATAGGCTAAGCCCATATACTCTTGATAAAATAATATATAGAAAAAGTCAATCTCACTAAACACTTATGATTGAAAATGAATATTGACTTCAGAATACTTTCTATTACTATTATACTCATCTCAAAATAAAACATCCTTCCATTAAAATGGTCGATATTTTATAAATTTTTTTTTATCAATTTAATCAATTCAAGAATGTCATATTAAACATTTTTTTTTTTTAAATCGATATTTTCAGAAAAATTTCTTTTATACTGACATACTGACCCAACAGCTATGTYGTATACTTATGTAATTATTATGAAAAAGTAACCGATACCGAACTTTGCATTTTGTTCTTAATGACGACCTATGAACTTACCTAATATAATGTATAAAAATCTGACCTTTTCAAATGTCGACAAACCCAAGAAAAATATTCCTCTTTTTATGTGTTTTAATAATAATTACTTTGGCAATAAAAATAATTGTTTTATAGAAATAAAAAAAAGTACACTATATGTCTATATATATACTAGGTACTATCAGCATAATGGGTCAAAATCAATTCTAATGGTATGTTTTTAATATTTAGGTATAGTTAAACACTAACATTTAATAGTTATCTAACGTACCATAACAGTATGGTAAAATTGTTTTACATTTTTCGGTAACTGTCCTCTATCACGATAATTTCAAATCAAATGTAAATTTTTAATATTTATTAAAAATTATTTATCATAATTATTTTAACCATCTAATAAGCATGCTTTTATAATCACGATAACTTTGCGTCAATTCTTAACTAACTAAACACGTATTTAAGTTTTCTTAATGTGTACGCAGTACAAGCACGTCAAAGGGAGGAGGAGTTAATAATTTTGTTACAACACAAATACTATATATAAATTGATTATATGAATAAAGAATTTATAGAATTAATAAATGGTAGGTATGTTATGGTAGTATTCAGTGGTTGACATTCAAATATTTGAGAAAAATCATGTTTTGTTTTAACTGTTATACCTTAGTAATACTTGTATTAGAAAAATTATAAAATAATTGGAGAAATAATTGTCTTTGTGCTTCTCTAAATCTGTTCAGACGAAGTAGGTATAAAATAATTATTACTCTAATAAATACATAAATACATTGGATTACTATGCATAGATTTTATGATATCGTTTAAAAAAAAAAAAAATTGTTTAAAAATAATTTTGGATTTTAACGTTATTTTTAAAAGAATTGAAAATATTTAAATAATCAACTTTGAGGTCTTGAGTGAGGTTTCTAGTATAAAATTAAATCTAGTAAATAATAGATACATAACCCGAGCCTATGACTTGCATTTATTTTGAAATAAATATATTTGTAAAAAAATGTATATACTATGTTTCTTCCAGTTATAACAGTAATATGATGTATAACATAATATGCGATGGGAACCAATAACCATTTAGAAAAACAGTTGAGTTATCCTTTATAGCTAACTTATAGGACTTAAAAAAATAAACTTTAGCCATATTTCATTTTCTAAACGTCAAGGACTATATATTGATATAATTTTTATTAAAAACGATTAAAGTCTTAACTTTAGATGATCAAATATCTTTTTAATTATTAATTTATTAATAATAGCATTGGATGTAAATTTAACATAGCTCAATCCACTCTCTAAGCTTTCATTTATCTCCGAAGACAATTTGAAAGTATGACAAAATCGATTAAATAGTTTTAGAATAGGTACGTGCCTATATACAGAATATATCAACTTTCATTTTTGTTTTAAGATATAATTTTATTATTTATAACCATACTTTTGACAATTTAATGTATAGSCTGCARCCTATGTAGCATGTAAATGGCAACTATTTATTTACAAAAAAAATATACTAYATAATTTCTCTTATTAGTTTTATATCAGTAAGCTGTAATTACATCTGTTAACCGATAGCAAATATAAATAGATAAMATTTCTATCAAAAATCTCAAAATCTTATTGTTTGAACGGGAGATGGTGACTTGCGGAAAAATTAACCTTTTTCTATACGCCAATATGTAAACTGCGGCAATAAAAATTTAACATAATACAATCTATGACAAAACCGAAAAGATACGAAACACAAACTGTTGCAATTTATTTTTTATACCTAAATATACCTTATATATAATATATAGTATATAAACCATATATACCTATCTATGTGTAGCAATACGTATAGGTACGTACCTATATTGTTTAATAATTTTATGTTATGTTGCGTCTTGCGAACAAATTGTGAAGGCWAATCTTAATGTTAGTAGTCGAAACTTTTGATAATACTATAGTTAGTACCTACTGTAATTAAACGATAAACGTATATATCGTATCGTATCGTTATCGTTTCGATATTCATACACTTTTCATAGTATATACTATACATAGAAGATATAAAATAAATTATAGTAAATTGCGCTGCTTGTACAATATATCTTATCGGTTTTCATTTAAAAAATGTACGTATATCTACATTATTAGTATCAAAATTTTTTTAAGTGGTTGGATGTATGAAATGTAATAATGAACATTTTCGAAAAATTTGGTGTATTTAAATCCACGGTCAATTTGGTACATGCACATACTATTTTGAATATAATAAATCCAATAAGTTATAATTAAGCTGAAATGTAGTATTCAAAATTAAGGTAAGGAAAAGCTCCCCAATGGACTGTGTTAAATAATTTYGAACCKGGAAAGCAGTTTTTAAGTCGCTGAATTCAAYTCCTCTACTTAATTTTTCCTAATTCGAGCATTGTATTAAATGCATAAGCCWTAAAGTATGTAAGTAGTACGTAGTAATAACTATCCAAAAACGTTTTTATCATTGTTTTGGAAGATTGAAAATAATTAAAATACATTTATTTTATATTTTATATTATAAATCTCTAGTATTGATTAATATTATAAGTTATAACGTATAAACACCTACCGCTCTTCCATTAATTTTAATATTTTATTTAGCTTTTTTTATACGATCTATACCGACCTTTTAAGGAATCTATATCTTCTGTATAATTCACAATGTAACGTATATATATTATACCTACATTTATATAATGAATAATATACGGTTCGAAAGTTCAGTTGCGTGTTTTTAATGATCTGTCAAAATGTACTATAGCTAATAGCTACTGATACCATTCATCAGCTTTACATTCAATATTTGATAATAAATCCTCAGCTAAAMTACTACTAGTTAAACGACAATTTAATTATGCATATTTTTAAATAAAATATTATTTTTCTTTAGAAATCGCAACGGACACATCTGCAGCGGAATTAAAGACTGCTGCAGTWCTGTGGGAGATACCGAGACAACCTCTTAGTGTGGACTTGAATGTTACCGATCGGATGTTGATGTAACGTTAAACTATATTAAAAACGATGTACGACAATCACAAAAAGTCGAATAGTACGCTATATACGATTTCGTAACATCGTATAAAATACACTGAATATTACAACATCTACATCGCAGAACTTTGAGCGAGTGCCGCGGCGGMTGCAGCAGGACGTCCGGTAGGTCACCCGGTGATGGGGCATCACAATCACAACGTCGAGCCGGCAAACAACGCGTTCGCACCACTACCACCACCGCCGACGCCATCTGCATCTAAAAAGCCACATTCGTCGCCGGCCATCGCAACTCGGCGKGACGTGATCGGCACCACCGCAGCGGCCGGTCGCCACCAGCTCAACACAAACAACAGCAACAGCAACGACCGCGGTGCAGCAGGCAATTGCACTGGCGCAACGTCGACAATCGCACTGGTAACTGCCGCAATGCAGAACGGAACGGCTGCGCCTGACCGGCCGGCCAGCGACTACTATTACTATTACGCGTACGACAACACTACCGAGACCGCACTATTCTTTCCGCTCAACGGTTCTGCGGTCAGCGGACGGACAGGGCCGTTCGAGAAATCCCAATGTCAGTGGATACCCGCCCAGCAGAGCCTTTTCCAGTTCTCCAACATTTGTTTCCTGACCGCTTTCATAGTTCCAAGGAGTTACAAGCTCAGCGTGTTGTCATTGAGGTAATTACCGCTGTGGATCCGTGTGTCGCTTGTGTGTAAAATAACAATATACACCTAGAATACCCACTATATTATAATTTATATTTCCATCACAAAAGTCCCGTATCAAGTTCCAAACGTCACCGGGCAAATCAAAATTATATAATAATATATATATATATATTTATTATTATTATTATTGGTACAGCATCAACAACTAAGATTATTAGCTTAAATAATATTTTAAAGTTGCCATTATAGCTATTTAAAAATATTAAATATAGATAATATAGGTACGATTTAAAAAAAAAACATTTTGAGTTATAATCGAATATTTCAACAAAAAACAATAATTAGCTATTTTAGTTATCTTGTTATGATTTAAAAATATATTTTGTGGAGATTTGAAATGTCCACATTATTTTTTTTACATAAAATAAATGCAATGTTTTTGGCAAAATTCAAATTAACTTATCGTATATTATTATTAGTAAAATAAATGCATATATAATATACTTAATTTTTTACTAATTACTTAGCTATCAGGCCGACTAAACTCAGAATAGTTTTTTGCATAATGTACCTATTATTGAATTTAAATTTAACAATTTCATTATATAATGACTTACTCAATGATGAGGTATATACTCGACACCTAATGTAAAGGATGCTTCTCTCTTTTTTAAATTTATGCAATACCTAAGTAGAATTTATTTCGATCAGGTACTTGCTGATGAACGAGCATTTGAATACATTGATCGATCAAAATCAATGAATGTAGTGATAACACTTTAAGCTAAACTTAATTTATAGTTTTAATTAATGTAATTAAACGAATAAAAAAAAATTATATTAAGTTCACAAGTGCATTAGAGTAATATACCGTGTGTTCAATAATTAGAGAGCACTGAATTTCATGGCTGGATTATATTGGAATAAACCGATTTTTTTTTACAAATTATAAGTATATAAATACACATTTATAGTTACACCTCAAAATTTTTATTATTTCGGTATGCGCATGTGCAGTAAAATATGTTTTTTTTAATAGCAAGGCCTATTTTGAACACCATTATATTCGTATAGGCCTATTTTTTAAAGTTATTTTTATTTTCAATTAGTCTATCATGAATAATAGCTGTCATAATTATATATGTTTACATATTAAGTTGTGAAGCATATTAGTTAGGTTAGGTTATACAAAAGCAATTAAATTATAGGATCATAACTACTTTAAAGTAGTTTCTAAATTAATGTAACAATCCTCTGTAGTAATTTGTTTAAACGAAAAGTTAGAATGGTTACTATTTTAGTTTTCACGCCAGTCAAAAGACCTATAATAAATTAAATAAAGTTGCATATCCACTGATTGAAATTTTAAATTAATCTATTTAGTATTTTCATTCATTATTCATAAATGTATGAAGATCCTATATTATTATTTTAATTCRTTTAAAATTAAAAATAAACGATTCATCAAATTCTTAGTTTTTATTTAAACATACAATTATAAATTATATTATATTTACATTACGTTACCTATATTAAGAAAATACATAATATTATGGGTATTTATACTGATATACTATCTCATATTATATTTTATTGTCTACAATGTAGACTCTACATAATATCACCAGTTTAAATCAAACTAATTAAAAACAAAACTATTTCGTGAAATAAAAATCCAATAAAATATGGATGAACATTGTGCAATAGGTATWTAAATATCATTGAGCAAATATAGTGTCAAACTGTCAACTAAATGAATATACTATAATATAGACTTAATACGTCTAAAAAACACGAATGGCAAATAAAACAATWCAAAGTTTATTCACCATCATGTATATGTCGAGCAGGGCGTTGCTGTTCTTAGGATTTCTGCTTTCTGGTCTTTGGGCGTCCACGGACGTGTGCGCGATGGATGCATTGATCTGGTATGGATCACTAGCTCTGATCAACGGCGTGCACGCGCTTAAACTGTGTAAAAAGCTCATGCCACCCGCGTTATCGGTCGAACTCATGGAGTTGTACACGAGGGTGTTCAAGCCGCTCAAAGTCAGCGAGAAACACTTTCGGGAGCTAACGCGAGAGGCGGTCATCGAGAAATTGTCACCTGGCGAGTGTTACGCGGTCGAGGCGGTAACGGCTTGTGATCAGCGACTGTCCATTCTACTCAGAGGCAGGTGAGTGATATCGGTATAATTCTGCAGCAGGAACATGATGCTCTAATAGGATTCAGTTTGCCAGATTAAATTAAGCTACGGCCCTAGTTCTTCAAAGCAAAATTTAGAGTATTTTCAAATCAGATAAAACTATATATATATAAAGGTATATAATATGTTAAACATGTCATAAGAGTAATATTCGTCCTTTTTTATTAGGGGAATCTACACGTACTGTATAATGTTGTCTCCGCATAAGTTGTACAAAGCTATACAAGCACATTACATACCTAACGAATTCTACATTCTGAATAATTCATTATGTTTAATATTAGAGTGAATTGAATAAAAACAAATAAAAGTTTAATATGATATWTAGGTAATATGTAATTCACAGTATTTATATAATATATTTACAGCTACGTAACATATACCTACCTATTCCTAGAATAAAAAATACATGTGTTGTACAAAATAAAATTAAYATATATTGATATATGAATAAAAACATTATCACACACAATTCATTACGATWGCACTAACCTTTCTATAGSAACATTGCGTTGAAATGGATTTTATAATATGCCTAGGTGTGGTGTAACTTGCGAAGGTACACAGTTGCACAATATCAGTTCGTATCAATTCCTTGATTCACCCGAATGGATGGCTTCAACTCTAATGCACGGAGAAAATATGTTCCAAGTACGCCTGTTATGAAGTACTAATATATTGTATATGTAAACATGTATAAAATATAAATACACTTTTTAGGTAACGATAACGGCTGCCGAAGACTGTGTTTACTTATGTTGGCAACTTTCAAAGCTCAATCGGATATTCAAACACAGAACTCAATTGCACGCTGTACTCACTAGTATCATAGGTAAGCCGGTCGTTTCTTTATAAACAATTGTGAATTGACAAACGAACTTTTGGTCATTATTATTGTGCACTGCAGGCAAAGACATAACGCACAAAATGTACTCGTTGAATGAGCAGCTTGGTCAAGCAAAAAGTTTCGATGATCAGACGCGTGCTGCGCGCAACGATCATTGGCGGCAAGCGATTTACAGGAGCGTCAGCTATGACGCCGTCAACACGGGAACCAAAGGAACGGTCAGGTCTAATGCTTGGAAACGATACAGAGACCGAAAGGCGTCATTGTTCGCGGATCCCGGCGAAAGTAAGTGTGTCATATTATCAATGGGTTTTATTATTAATGTAGGTAGGTACTAAATAATATTAAATGATGTCGAACTCGAACCGAACGATATGTTCAACGATTCAACATCAAGTCATCAAACATGATCCGAACTAAACAATTTGTTTAATATCGAACTGAATTCAAACCAAGATTTTGAATTAAATCATGAATTATCTTTTAGTTTTATATCAAACCAAAATATAAAATAAATAAAACAATTTGTTTTCGAAACGTATATGCGACATGCTCCAATTTTTTTGATAGACTAATTAATTAAACTTTTTGTTCGAGTTCGGTGTGGATGAAAGGTTTTTTTTTACTAGGTTAGACTTTCGAACTTTAACCAGTTTGACTCACACCTAGAGTCTAAACTACCTAGTAGGTACCTATTATATTAAAATACTTATACGTAAATAATATACTTACGACCTTGCTTTATACAGRRCCGGATTGGTTACAATCGTAGTCAAATATTTTAGTGTCTTAATAAAACTCCACCTTTCTTCTCTACCACCAGCCCAAATGTATAATAATAGAGCGGATTTTGATGTTAAACATCCCATTCCGACTTGTCTAAAGTACTTGTATACTATACCTATATATTTGGTTAGCATCTCAGTAGAAATTAACCAAGTGATGCCATTGATATTGATTTGTCTCCATAATATGTATATCTATTTTCATGATCTTCCCATTTTCTTTGGATGGGATRCCGTTATCCATTTCTTTAATACTTCAGGCGTTACATCCATGTTTAGCTATTTTTGCTCATCGATTCAAATATCATTCTAGTTTTTTTGTTTATAAGATTTAAGAACTCTAACCTTAAACGTACGACCAATTATTTTTTGTCGAAGTTCGAGATCAATTAAAATCGGTTATTATAAATATGTCACGATAATAATTAAACGTTATACGTGTCACGTATAGGTCCGGTGCACGGTCCGCGGAGGTGTTGGATACCGGTGTTGACCAATCAACTTTCGGATAGCACCACGGCATACGGCAGCATGGACGGACAATCGTCTTCGGCCGACGAGGAACGCGAACCGATGCTYCGCGGTAACCACCAGTCGGTAGACATACCACTGTACCGGTTGGGTGGACAGCACCAGACGGTTGCCGCGTTGGCATCGATACCGGCGATTGCGTTGAAAGCTGCCGGCTTGGAGCTCGACGTGGAGGCAGCCCAGCGACCACGACGCCCAAGCACGCTGCGGCGGCAAAACAGCAACGTGAGCAATAGGGAAGTGATGTTCGACGAGACGGTACTCTAAAATGGCGTACACAAATTGTTATTTTGGGGATCGAGGCTTGTATTGCATTTGCATATGTTATTTTTTTTGTCTGTCCATTGTACTCGTATTGCTAAACAATAATATCTACCTATAAATTTGTTTTATGCTATAATAAGGGATTTATTCGTGAATTTTTAATAAGCAATTTTGGGCATTCGTTACTATGATAATACGTAGCAATTTTATGTATTCCACACATTTGTACAGCAAATAATAAATTTATGAATTTATGCGTTGTGATAAAAAATATAATCTAAAAACAAGGTACACTCTAAGAAAATAATATGCTCTAAGCGTCGTATTTAATTTTGAACGAGTAGAAAATAACCAAAAAATTTAGTAATCAAAGCTATAGACAATTTAGTAGTTTTTTTTTTTAAATAGCTACTGATCAATTGGTTTTTGAAAATTACCTAATTTCTATCTTAGTTAAAAGTTATTGTTTTTTATAGTTTAAAACATTTATTTAAAAATCTGTTCGTTCAAATGTAAAGTACTTGTTATTTTTAACTAAGATCATTGGTGATGCCATTGATTAAATTAACTGAATAAATTGGTGGTACCAATAAACCAAAAATAATTTTCTAAACTTACCACTACAGCGCCACCGCATGTACATATTACAAGTAATATACAATAATAAAAAATGTAGCATTTATTACTAAACATTATAATTATAACAAATCATAACAGATTATAACAAATTATACATAATACATATATTATATTAATAATTATCATTCAGTATTCTACTCGGACAGTATAGTCACCTATGTAATAGAACGTTAGGATTTTCGCCAGTGAATACAAGTTACCTATATTTTGTATTTAACATATTAGCTCAGATAATTCCATATTTCCATGCACTACTCATTAAGTAAGAAAGTTACTTTTTTACTAAATTTTAACTTTTTAAGTTTCTAAATAATTAGTGTCCATATTTTGACAGTAATGGTAGAAAATGGTGTTTGCAGTGTTCCTTAAGTCCAACTAATTAAAGTAGTTTAAAATAGTTATTACTTATCAGAAATGATTTCTTTTCTTATGATAAACATAATTATAAGTAAAAATAAACAATATATTCAGTTCCAATTTATATTTTATTTAATGTAGTAAAATACATTTTAAGTTCGATTTTATATATTTTGCAATATCCCAAAATCAAAAGTATTTAATTGTAGGTACCCACCTAACAACTTCTCGAGCATTATAAATTTATAAATTACATTTATGTACCTACCTACATAATTTTGATTCCATTGAAAGTACGTAAATTGTAATTTTATAAATATTTATCTTAAAGATTATATTATATGATCAACCTTTTCAATTGTGTTTGGCTGTACTTATTACAAAATTATTATACATGACGTTGCTGACTATCATTGTTTTATAATGTTTAATATTGGGCACAGTGCACACAAAAATCAAAAYAGTAAAATATAAAAATAAAACATATTCATCACGTTTAAAATAAGTTACTGAAGTGTAGGCGTGTTTATAAAGTATAGGTACTTACCTATTTTTATCAATCCAATCAAAGTTGATTAGTAAGATGCAAGACAATCACAACAAACAGATATCCTTTATGTACAAGTTGTTTGTGGTAATAAATTCTTTTTATTTTTAAATTTAACATTTTATAGGTTATTATTAATATGTATTAAATGTAAAGTTGTAAAGTTATAGCTATAACTTCAAAAACTTTTTTGATGATTTACATTTAGAGCTGAGCGCTCATAAATTATATTTAAAGGTCTTTGATAATACCTACCCACTTAAAAATAAAACAAAGTTTATTTATGTCACTTAATTATTGTCATTTAGATAAAGAAAAACACTTTGATAAGTTATGTGTTCTTTAAGCTTGTGTAATTACYAGTTATCAAATACATATATTTAATTTCAAATCAATCTCTATTCTCTTTATTATGTTTCTTAGACTTTCAAACGTTGACGTGATAAATGTCTTAGATAGTATATACAAATTATTAACACATATTAACGCTCATCACCATAAAAACTAATTATCATAAAATGAGTTTAAAGTGAAAAGTATAGTATAATAATATATATTAATATGCTGTATGTGTAGATAAACAACATTCTTTAGAAATTTATTATTATACCTAATATATTATGGTTTTTCTTACAACTATTAAAAAGTATTATACCTAATATATTATGCTCTATATTAAAAAAAATTAAAAAATTAAAAAATATTAGGAAATGTGATATTTTTTAGTGTAATATCGAGGCTATATCCTATATATTATAACAAACATTGATGCTCATCTTTCTAAACTTACATAAAAACATTATTCTATATTGCTAAACAACTTTTGGGCAATCATAATGAGACTATTAATTATTATTACTAAGCACAGGTTTTAATTATATGTATAATATATGATAACAGTAAAATGATGGATGATAATGTTATATTAATTCGCTCATAAGCTAAAAGCTTGRTATTTTCTTTATTGATAAATACATGATTAAAAAAAATGTGGAAGTGTTATTGCTATTAAATACCAAAGTTTTTGAATATATGTATGTGTGCATTTTTAAATATTATTTAACTATGATATTCGAAAATAATTAAGAATAAAATATTGAATTTTTATTAATGTGATTATTTTTTAAAATAACAGCTTTTTATAAACAAAATGTTTTGTATACATTATTTTCATAGAATTGAAGGAAAAAAATGTAATGTGTTTTAATCGTTGAATGTCAATAGACTTAATAAAATATTAGTATTTTGAAAATGTAACCAGTAATTGCGTTTTTTTAACCTTGGTTTTTCTTATTATTAATTTAATGAACAAGTTTAAAGGGGTGTTATACTCACAAGCGTAGTTTCTGCTTTACATAATATAATATAGCAAATTATATTATATGGTTATTCATATTAATATCATCACATCTGAAGATAATATATTACCCTTGTAACATATTTTTATTGATATACATATTTTTTTAAATAATATACTATTTTATAATTTAAAGAATTGTAGTTAACTGTGTTAAGGGGGCTGCAGCCAATAAAAAAAAAATGACTTTTAGACCAATAAGCTAGACAAAACTGGAAGAATTTGGTTTGACAGATTTTAATTTTGGAAACGGATTATAAATAATCAACAAGTTTACTAGGGAATGATGGAGGCATTTTTGAATTTTTTTTCATTATGTTACCATAATAATTGGAATATTCAAAATCGCCTCAATTATTCCTTAGTAAACTTGTTGCATAATCCGTTTTCAAAATTAAAATCTATCAAACCAAATTCTTCCAGTTTTGTCTAGCTTATTGGTCTAAAAGTCCCTTTTTTCATTATCTGGAGCCTCCTCTAGCAAGATTTATTTTATGATAAAGAATTTAAAATTTAAATATATTGGAAAAAATTAATATTTAGATTAGTAAAATATACATTAGTTTTGACTTTTGAAAAATTCGGCTGCAGCCCCTTTAATGGAAAGTATAGGGTAACATAGGCGTGCGCAGACCTTATCCATATTTAAAATGCCTGATCCAATTGCTWAAGATTCTTGTACAAATGACTACTTGTTTAGTTAAATATTAAATTGTAAATTGTATAATGTACCTTTTTATGAAATTCAATATTAAAATATTRAAATAAATATAATTACAGTGTATAAAAATAATAAGTATAATAATAGTAAATTAATAAATAGCAATATCAATTTTATTCTTTTGAAAGTCACGGTTTTATTCTTTTCGCTTATTATAAAAATATTTTATTTACTAGTTAGATATAGTGCGTAACAATTTAATGTAATAAAATTAGAGTATTATGATTTTCTAGGACTAAAATATTTGTTATTTGTAGTTACCATACTATATTACTTACAAGTTATAACCACTAACCACTTTGTGGTATGAAAAAAAAATAAATAGTTTACTAGCGACTAGCTGATATCAAAGTGGATAGTATGAGGTCTGTGGATCATTTAGAATATTKGGTTGATGGTAACTCATTAATTAACAACTTTATTACATTTATTCAGATATTTATACAAAGAATTCAATCGGCATTCATGTTGAAGCTATTAAAAATGATATGAAAATTAAAAATTTTAGTAATGAAAACAGATTTAAATCTTCATCTAGTTTATATTAGATTGTTAGAACTAAAACCAAAGTTGATTAATTAAAAAAATAAATAAAAATAGTTTTGTTAGGCCTGTTTCACTTTGATGTATATCATACGCAATGTATCGTAAGCGCGCGTTTTATGTTTACATTAAGTTTATACGCGTCATAACAAAATTGTCGGAGTGGCGCGTATGAATTTAACCAATGTCACAGAAAACGTACATGTATGATACGTATCCAGGTGTAACGGGCCTTAGAAGATTGGATTTAAAGTTGTAACTACAAAACATTAAATACACTTAAGTAAAAAAAGTTATTATGACAATATCTGAAATATTTACATTTTTATAATATAATTATTCCATGTCTCCATGATATTTGTAAGTAAATATTTAAGTCTAAATCATTAAAGGGAAGAAATTGTTAATCACAAATAAAATTATTTGAAAATAAYCATTAAATCTTTAAACAAAAATTAGAAAATTAGAATGTGATACAAAGAAATATCAACAAGTTTTTATTTGACAAATACACACTGATAGGTTATACAAAAAAGATTAACATAATACTCGTACTACAAAAACAAAATGCTTGTCTTCAGTTTTGTTTACTGATTACATTTTGATACTCTATTAAATAATAATCAATGATAGAACTATTCTAAATAATATAGTAGGTGAATTTGAAATATTGCTTTTTTCATTCCTTATATTGTATAAATAAATACTCATATTTGATATCTAATATATTTAAATAYAGTTTTACAGTATACCAAAAAAAAATAAAAATAAATTTAACTAATTAATTGGGTGGTTGACAAATACGTATGAGTAAATACTTTTTCTTACTGTAAACATAAATGTGAAGACAATTATGGGTTTTAATTAAAATTATTGGTATTTAAAAATAATTTTCTTGATGATATCAAGAATAATGTGAAAATTCAAGGATAAATTTCACTTGTCTCAACCTTATTGTACAGTGAATGAAAAATATAAAAAAACAATAAAATACAAATTAGTTAGATAAATAATAGAGGTATTATATATTAATTATAAAGTACTCAACAAGCAGTTGAATAACAAACACCAAATTGCCAATACGTTCATTTGTGGTATAGAAATATTATTTACATTTAACCCAGTGAATAAGTAAATAAATAATACTCGTTGATTATTTAGTTTAAAATGATAGGCTATAAGCAAAAGGTAACTAAATTGATAGGTAATAATTTAAAACCAAGATAAAATACAAAAGTGATTATGAATTTTATTTGTCTTACTCAAATTCATCAGCTATAAATAACTTAATATAAATGTACAGCGTTTTGTCATAATTATTTAATGTAACAAATTTGTATTATTACACTATGAATAGAAATTACATATAATGCTTAATTTTCTTTTTCCCTTTAAATACTCATTTTTAATGAAGATTCAGAGCTATATCTCAACATAAATATTAGATGATTTATAATCTAAAAAAAAAAAAAACAAAGCTTAGAATAAAAAATAAAAAAAATTAAAACATACTTGGTTTGAATCAAAATTCATTAATACATTTTACATAAATAATGAATTTGAACTATAGTTTGATGACATTTAACCTAAATGTAAGATGCATATCAATTCATAAAAAACTTTAATTCACTTTTTTTTCTAAACTTTATAATATATATTTTTTTATGTATCAATTACGATTTATACTTTTATTTACCACATATTTATGACTGAGACCACCAATCTTGAGTAGAAGAATTGCCATTGGGAGCTGAACCACCACTATTGTATGATCCTCCATAATTACCACCACCATAAAATCCACCTCCTGAAAARCAAAGCAAAAATTAATTATAGATAATGTTTAATACTACAAAGATGAAACTTTGTAAATACCAGAGTAAATATTAACTAAATTACCGTTGTTACTGCCACCTCCATAGTCTCTACGTGGTGGACMAGAACTACCACGTGATGGTGGCATGCTGCTTGTAGTACGATAATCTCGGGAACCAAAACCGGCACCACCAAAACGACTTCTGCAATTTTTGATATGTAAATTAAATAACTTTAAAATAGTACTAAGTTTTAAATAGTATTATTATGCAAATTTGAAAACATACCCTCCTTTTGATCCATTACTTCTTCTTCCACTGCTCATTCTGAAGTCAGATGCCATACTTTCTAACCATCCAGGTAATTCCTGTTTCGATTCAGTTATTAATTCCATTAGGTCTCTAGTTAAATTGCGATTTTTGTCATTGAAAAAAGAAGTGGCCAAACCTTTGAAAAATTATAATCATGTGATAAAATAGTCAGTTACTGTTAGTTGAATTAATTAGAACTCACCTAAATTTCCCATACGGCCAGTACGTCCAATACGATGCACATACTCCTCAACATCTGATGGTAAATCATAATTAATCACATGTGTTACATGAGGTATATCTAAGCCTCTAGCTGCAACAGCTGTAGCAACTAAGACTGGTGTGTTCCCAGATCGGAAACTTTTTAATGCATCTTCACGTTCACGTTGTGTTCGGTCACCATGAATAGAGGTTACAGGATAACCATTGGAATACAAAAATTCTTCCAACGAATCTGCACCTTTTTTAGTTTCAACAAACACCAATATCAAAGACTCAGCAGGTTCTGAAATAATTTAATAATTTAATTATWAAAATGAAAATAATTCATTTATTCAAATTTACTAACGTGATCTAATTGGAGTAGCATTTAGTAAATCTAATAAATAGGATCTCTTGTTTCGGTCTTCTACCCAAACAATTTTTTGTGTTATATTTTCAGATGTTGATCCAACTCGACCAATAGCTAAGAAAATATAGTTGTCGAGAAAATCTCTAGCTAACATCTGTAAAAACATTGATAAAGATGTATAAGAAAAAAATGTATAATTTCAATTAGAGTTATTCGTTTTACTTGAATTTCTTTAGGGAATGTAGCAGAGAACATCAAAGTTTGTCTGTCACCTGGAGGAGGCATAGAATCTTTCTCAACAATACGTCTTATTTGTGTTTCAAAACCCATATCTAACATTCTATCAGCTTCATCCAAAACTAAGTATCGACAAAAATCTAACCCAATTTTACCTCTCTCTAACATGTCTACTAAACGGCCAGGAGTAGCAACTAATAAATGGCACCCCTGTTCTAGATCACGGATTTGGTCCATAACATGTGAACCACCATAGCTGTAATTAGAATAAATTTATAATAAATTAAATAATTATTTTTACATATTAAAAAATTCTTACACAACACAAGGACGCACTCTAGAACGATACGCAAACTTCTTTGCTTCGTCATATATTTGGGTAGCTAATTCACGAGTAGGAGCTAATATTAAACCAAGAGGATATTTACGTCTTGACTGTAGCTGTTAAAACATTTAACAAAAAAGTTAAAAATAATTCTAAAATAGTTCTTGATTATTGCCAAACCTTAGGCCCAACACTATATGCGGCTGGCCCTTTTTCATAAATTTGATTAAGTATGGGAACCAGGAATGCAGCAGTTTTGCCTGATCCAGTTTGGGCACAGGCCATAACATCACGGCGACCAACAATAATTGGTATAGCATACTTTTGAACTGGAGTTGGAGTATCATAACGAGTCAATGCAATATTCATGCGTATAATATCTGTCAGCTTAATGTCGTCAAACTATAAAATAAAATATATGTTAAAAATATTATTGTTAAAATATGATACATAATATGTTATATTTATTATGTTAAGCTTACTGTATTAATATGGGAGGGTATATCTTCACCAGTTGCTTCAACTGGAATATCTTCATACTTATTGAAGTTAATGCCTGTACTACGATTTCCAAAAAGTTCTTCCTCCAAACGTTCATCAGGGGGGAGTGGTTTGGTCCAATCTTGGTTAGGAGCGCTTGATTCATCCCAACGGCCACCTCTTCGATTTTCACCAGATCTATTATCATTATTGCTTTTATGAATTTATAAGCAAGAAGAATAATTTAAAATTAAAATAAGCAACCTTCTTCCATCACGTCCACCGCCTCCTCCTTCTTGCCACCTGCTGCCCCCACCGCCACCACCTTGATTGAAACGCGACCAATCGCCGCCATCTCTATCATTGCGGTAATTGCCTCGATAACCACCTCCGCCTCGTCCGCCACCATAACCGGAACTCGATGATCCATTGTAGGAACGATCTTCATAATCATCTCTTCGGCCACCACGACGATCGTTTCCTAAAAATGTTTGATGTCCTTATCAGTTGAATTTAAAAACCTTACAAAAAAATATATCCAAATTGTAATTTAAAAAACCTGATGGTTGGCGAGGTGCGTTAAAATCTCTGTCGTTAACAATACTTTCTGTAACATGAAAAAAAAAAAAATTGTTAATACAACTATTCATGTGATAGTTATAAAGGGAAAATATAAAACACAGTTTCTACATTTAAATTTTAATATAACAATTATTTAATATTTTTTTATAATTAAAAAAGATAAGGAAAACTAGAAGTACCCAGCTATATTTTATTCACAAAGGGATTATTTTTCCATGATAAAGTAGTTTGYTTAATGATTATGAATTTAAAAATGCAGACAATATGCTGAATAGTTATATAGAATCCACAGGAGAAATAAGACTTTTCCAGTATGTTTAATAATTAAATTATATAAATATATATTTATAATATAAACTTACAATTATTTTTATGGGAGTAAACAATCCCCATTGCAAAATATACTCTAAATCTACAACATTAGACAATAGAAATATAATTGTGAGACTGAAGATATTTTATATAAAAGTTGATATCTTAACCTTAAATAAATAACATGATAATTGAACAATTATGTTGTAGATAAACATATTTATTGAAATTATGTCTTACACTTAGATTGAATGTTAACAGGGTGATTATTTATTAAACACAAAATGTTGAACTCTTATGCATTATACCAAAAACTAATATAAATATTTTGAAAATTTAAGTAAGGTGATATATTACTTAAGTATTAACAATGATTATATTTTAATATAAAATGTAAATATT